CCTTTTAAAAGCAAAGAGTGCCATTTACAGAAGTTTATTAACGAAATCTAAAAGTCAGTCTGCAAGTTGAGATCTAAGGGGGTTAAACTGAAGTTGCTAAAATAAAGTTCTGTACTGACCCTCAGGGGTCCAATAACAGATGAAAAGCTTAGCACGTAGCATATCTTAGCACAGTAAAGCAGGAAGTTGACCGAGGCTAGCTCAACTGTTATTGGAGCACTGAGCAAAAAGGGGCTGGACTTAGGAAGGGTCAATTATTAAGTAATGTTTCTAAATTTAAGTACATTTAAAAATCAAGACATGAACTAAAAACTGTCAGATTTGTTAGAAAACATGTAGATTTTTGTCTTTTATTCAAATTTATTTCATATTTGTGTAATCACAATAGATGACAGAACGTTAAACTCACAAATAGTTAAAACTACACAAATATTCAGCTAAAATGTAAAAACGGCTTCAATAAAATCAGGATTTTGTGCTTCTTTTTCCGAGCTCGTGCGCCCTCAAACCTGAACCTGCAGACGACTCAAACTCTTTGTTTTGTGCTTCAACAGTTTTGTCATTAAAGAATCTGCACACGCTTTCACATCGATGTGAGTTTAGCTGCGTGTTTTCAGCTCCGAGAACGTCGTCGAACAAACATCTCGGCCTTCACGAACACCAACGGCGTGACGCCATCCGGCTCGTTAACACAGGTTTCTACAAGGGAGTACAAAAATAATCTCTTCTGAAAACAAACTATCAAATCTTATGTTACATGTCGGAGGAGGAAAACGTGTTTCAGGCTTTTATTTCTCTGCGTTTTTTTGTCTTTTTTTTCCAGATTCCTCAGTCCTGTCCGAGTGAATCATCCACTAGTGCAACAGGAAGGTAGAAAAGAGAAATTAAAAGCTGGTTGTTGGAGGTTTAATCTGCAGCGAAAGCAAAGAAAGAAAACAAGACGGTGAAAGAAAAGTTTGTCCTTGAGGTTTGAAAATGAAGAGTGTCGGGGCGCGGATAAAAAGATTAAAACGCTACATTAAAACACCCTTAAAGAAGAACCTCCAGTCCTCTTTGTGAGACTCAAGGCCTTAATGTTGTTAACAAATGAACCAGGATCATTTCTTGTGAGATTTCTGACAGTTTGATGCTAATATTCCTCCAGAGGACCTAAAAGAAAAAAAAAAAAAACCTTGAACCCTAAAAGTCCACATTTTATTCAGACTGAGAATTCAGCGACCCACAAAAAACCACGAATAGAAATAAATACGCTGAGCTGCTTTAAAGAGCCGGAATAAATAAGGATGTTTGACATGTTCCCGTGTGAAAGCTGGTACATGAACCCATAACTCTGAACCGAGACCTCGAACATTATCTGGTTTTCTACACGAACAAACATCAGGGTCACGTCACAGCGAACCCCCCCCCTCCCCCTCGACCCCTGAGAGGCGGAGCCTTTCGCTTCCGCCGTCGCTGCGTTCGCGTCACATCACATTCTCCGTTTAGGATGAGCTTTGGTGGCATTTGTGTCGGCGCTGCAACTGTTTTGTTGTTCCATAAATGTTTTGAAGTAATATTTCAAGCAGAAATACTTAAAGTTTGAGGATCTTTCTTTGTGTTTAGTGAAAATAGAAATCTTTAGGACAAAAATAAGACATTTTGAGACTTTGGTCTGTGGGAAAATTTTCACTGACTTTAGTTCTAGTTCTTTAATTGAGAAACTAACTGGCAAACGAACAGATAATGAAAATACTTGTTAATGGTAGTCTTGCTTGTACAAATACAGACTGAAGAACACTGACACTATAAAAAGTGACACTTTCAGGAGAAATAAATACACAAGAAATTAGAAATTCAAAGGTTTAAAGACTGAGTTTACTGTCAGTGTCTCTCAGTAACGAACACACTGAACCAGTTTTCTGTTGATGTTAACTTTAAGCAGCGGCCACAATAACCAGAGTTTGATTTACTCACACTCACACTCACACTCACGTTCACGTTCTCGTTCTCGTTCTCGTTCTCGTTCTCGTTCTCTGCCTCTGCCTCTGCCTCTGCCGCTGGTTTCCTGTTTGTTCTTCACGACTGAATGAACTTACAGGCTGAACAGTTGGTCTGAGTTTTAAAGGGACCAGCAGCCAATCAGGACTGAGAATTTTAAAAGGCGTCACCCGGTGCAGCCAATCAAATTTCAAGGCCCGATGTGCACCTATGCAGATGTTTTTAGTTCTTTCGGCTGATTACTGTCCAGCGCAGCGAGGGTGGAAAGTTCATAATCTTTTAATTAATTATTTAAGAATAAACAGAAATAATAGAATTGAGTTGTTTTCTTTGTTTGTTTCCTGCCACTCTACAGCTCCACATCCAGTCCAGCAGGTGGCAGTAATGCACATACAGAGCTGGTTTACCAACTGCCATTAAAAAAGCTTCCTGAGCTTTGCACCTTTGGGCAAAAACTACACCTGATATTTAAGAATTTCTTTCATTTTAATCCAATTTACACCCAAAATCTATCACAATAATATAACTTAAATGTATTGATGATTTATATTCCTTTATTAAGTAATATAAAGAAGGCTGCTGGGAATCTGAGGCTAAGTTCACTGATTTTCTTCTTCTTTTGTACTTTTGTAACATTGTTAAGAAAAGTGTTAAATTATTATTATTCTTTTGCATTATGAGTGCACTATTTTTATCTTCTTTTTCCCAAACATGAACTTTAATCAGGTTCAATCAGCCGGAAGAACAGAAAGTATCTGTGTGTTTGGACAGAGTTTCAGTATAAATTGATAATATTCAGTCTATAATTTTTTTTTTTATTTACTCGTTGAGGACGATAAACACAGCTGGATTACCAACCTGGCAAAGTGGGTAAATACGTCCTATAGTTTAGGTGCATCGTTATCAGTCTTGGTAAAAATGGTTAATATTCATAAATAAAGTTAAACGATTTACCACAGACGGGTCACTAATTTTATAAAAGTAAATCATCCAAATTAATGATTAAATTGCAATATTGTAATATCCGGTGTATCCAGTCTGCCTCACGGTGGATCAATGGAGCTCAGCTTCTCTCGGAGGGCTGCACGATGTGGCAAAAACATCAGATTGCAGTTATTTTGCGATATGATTCCCGATTATTGTGGACATTTATGCATCACAAATTAAATTTTCACTGAAAAAAACAATTAAAATCATGATGCTGTGAAGTTTTTTGGGGTCTGCTCGTTTTAAGCAGCTCTCCCCAACTAAAGTTTCCAAAATATTATTTTTAATGATACATTTCCTCTGTTTTGATTGATAGATATAAGTGGGTATCATCTGCATAGGTGGCAACTAATTTCGCCTTTTAAATATAACTTATATTATATGTTATATTATACTAAATTATATGGAATTAATAAACCTGTTAATTCAAATAAAAAATAAAGACGTTCAAGCAGCACTTTTTAATAATCTTATATTGATTGATTGATCATCCTGGTTTTGGTTTGTTTCAGATGGGACGTGAACGCAGCACCGGCTTCCTCCCAGTCTATACTAACTGTGTGTCTCGGCGCCCCCTAGTGGTGGTGCGGCAGGAGGTCGTGGCTGTGGCTCCTCTGTATGTACGCCACTGCGTCCCTGTACGTGAGGGCCAACTGGGGCCGGTCGTACATCTCGCTCAGAGCCTGGAACTTGGGGCCCCACCGCGACAGCCTGTCGTAAACGAACCCTCCTTCGTCATCCTCCTCCTCCTCATCGTCGTCGCCGGGCGCGGTGGTAATGTTTCTACGTGATGCGGCCGACCCCAGAGAGCTGAGGCTTCCCGCCGACGACCCCGAGCCTTCCACACACCAGACGTGGTACGAGTCGGGCGGGAACGCCTCGCAGTCGTTGTCCGCCTCCCAGATTATTCGCGACACGTAGCTCTTAAAGTCCACGTTAGAGCGCGAGCCCGACGGGGCATCCGCGTAGCCGGCGCCATCGCTCGTCTCCACGTCCCTGCCCACGTGAGCAGTGTAGTTGGCGTAGGTGGTGTCGCTGGTGTAGCTGTTGGTGGTGGCGTGCTGATGGTGGTGGTGGTGGTGGTGATGAGGGATGCTGAGGTAGGGAGCGCCGGAGCTGCAGGAGGAGCCGGACGGGTGAACCTCCTCCTGGGAGCCGGGGGAGGACTTGATGAGCGGGGCGGTGGTGCAGGACGAGGACTGAGACAAACTGGAGCACAGTGGACGCTTCAACTCTGTGATGTCGTATCCGTTCTGGGAGGAAGGAAACAAACAAACAAACAAACAAACAAACAATCAATGATGATGGAAGTTAGATAGTTAACATGTATGTCTCTGTTATCTTTTAACCACCAACCAGGGCGGGGCCGATAAAGGGTCAGCTGAAGGCTTTGTGGTGTAATTTCATTTAATAAAATGTTTATTTAGGAATATTTGAATATTTCTGAAGAATGTGACACATTGACAACGTGTGTGAGTTTCATGCAGCATTAAAAAAATTCTGAATCTGAATTTCCTTATTTTCCAACTCAAAGTTAATTTACTTAAACTGCAAATATTTTCTGTGTGTTAGTGAGTGTATTTGTGTTAGTGTGTGTGTGTTAGTGTGTATTTGTGAGTGAGTGTGTTTGTGTGTGTGTTAGTGTGTGTGTTTGTGTTTGTGTTAGTGTGTGTGTGTTAGTGAGTGTATTTGTGTTAGTGTGTGTGTGTTAGTGTGAATGTGTTAGTGTGTGTGTGTTTGTGTTTGTGTTAGTGTGTGTGTTTGTGTGTGTGTGTGTGTGTGTGTATGTGTGTTAGTCTGTGTTTGTGTGAATGTGTTAGTGTGTGTGTGTGTGTGTGTGTGTTAGTGTGTGTGTACCTGGTCCTGCTCCCCCCCTCCCTCCTCGTTGTAGTTCAGGATGTTCTCTCTGATGTCCTCCCAGCTCTCGTGTTCAGCGGGGATGTGGTAAACTCCTCGCTTCCTGAACTTGTTACGGCTGCCTTTCTGGTTCCACACCGTCACCGCCACCAGCACCGCTACTCACACACACACACACACACAGAGGGGGGAGAGAGAGGGAGAGAGAGGGAGGGGGGGACAGTATAAATATGCATCTTTGCGTAACTGTGCTTCTGCGCCACCGGGACAGATTTCATTTCCTTCCTGTATATTTGTAGCAGGCAGCGGTTTGTTAAATCTGTGGAGTCTCAGTCAGTTAATTAATATTAAGTTCATTTAGAAACATCAGTTTAATCACTGATAATTACAACAAGCAGGTGAAAAACAAACGACCCGTTGGTGGGAGGAGAATCAGCCATCAGCATCCTTCACTCTAAACCTAAAACCTGTTTGTCTTCATGTGCCATTGGTCGGCAGTATCATCAATTCATCGACGTTTTAAAAAAAGACACGTAACAGCTGATTGTTTTGTGAACGTTACGTAACTGAAATGTGTCAAACGCCGTCTGAAGGTTCCCGATCGAATGCTGATGGGAAAGTTATTGATCAGTTCAGTTTGGAACAAAAGGTCTTTAGAGGAGACGGCTGAGTTGACGTCATGTTCAGTTCCGTGCCTTTTTCTCACTCTGAAGAGCTGATGTGAATAAAAAGAGAATCTGCCTGTTTTATATAACATTAACCCTGTAAAGCCTGATGCAGCCTATTTTTAAAGTGCTTATTGGACTAAAAACTTGTCATTTACATATGTATGGGCATTTATTGATCACAGTGCTTTTTATTTTAGCTGATTCTTCAGGGGAGAAAGAGAAAGAGTGGACGACATGCAGCAAATCAAACCCCACTCAGCGTACGTGGCGTGCACCACGAATACATTAATTAAAACTGATTAAAACTGATTAAAATTATAAGTTTATTATTAGTTTTTTGTGTTGTTTAAAGTTCATTATAGTTCAGGAAACTTTTAATTAATTAATTAAAGTGTAATGAGAAAGTTCACCTCATTTCATTCTCTCTAATCAGAGCTCATGAATAATTCTCCGGTCCCTTACCGAAGAAGACGAGCAGACACATGCTGATGGCCAGGATGGAGCTGGGGCTGAGGGCGGCCAGCCGGTGACCTTTGACCTGACCCAGCTCACAGCGCTGACCCCTGAACCCCTCTTGGCACCGGCACCGGTAGCTGTCAGGCGACAGCGCCTGGCAGACGCCGCCGTTACGGCAGGAAGTAGATCCACAGGGCGACGGCACACAACGCTGCTGACCTGAGTCGTCAGTCACCGTCACCTGACTGCCGGGACACCTGGGAGACGACGGGGAGGGACGGAGAGCAAGATGACATCAGAATAAAATCAGAAAAGTTTTCCAGAAGTGAAGCGGCGGTGTGACAGTCTTACCTGCACTGGTGTTTCCTCCACAGGTCGATGCAACGCAGCGGGCTGCGGCACGGCTGGCTGCTGCAGGCGTCGCTGGAGCACCCGGAGGTAATCCCTCGCCTCTCCAGCACCGTCACCAGGTCCCGGCTCTGCCCGTCCAGAGGCAGGACCTGACCGTTAAAACGAACGTCCTGCAGACAACCTGCAGGAGGAAATGCCCATAAATCAATAAATATGATTATTATTATTAACATACTGATAAAGCGTAAAAACGGAACACAATAACTGCAGGAAGTTTGTGCAAAAACGAGCGAATTGGATGAATTTTGAGCTGATTATTTCCAGTGAATATTGATCAGAGATGACTTTTACTGATAATTTAGTAACTTTTTTGCACATTTCTCTACTCTTTACGTACTTTTAGAGCATTTAAAGAATTAAAGCAGCTCTGATTGTGTCACATTGATTCTTCTGGGTCAGTTCACTAAGTAACTGAATCCAGATCAGATCCAGGTCTCACCCTGAAAGTCGGCCTTGTCTCCGGCGGTCGGCCCGTTGCCAACCATCACGCTGGCCGGGTGAACCACGATCTCCCTGCGGCTCCCCAGCTGGGCCTGGACCTCCCGCGAGCCACCGCCCTGCTCCAGCCGCAGGGTAAACAGGTTGTCATGGCGACTGAGGCTGACCAGGACCCACTGCCCGATGTCCACCCGCTGGCCAGGGAGCCGCAGGGTGTGGGCGCCGTCACCGAGGTTGGCGCGGACAGACAGGTGACCCTCCATGATCTGAAAGAAACTACAGCGTGAACTTTCCCGAAACCTTCCCACAATGCCTCACATCTCTCGTATTGATTGGTGAACGCTGTTTAAAAGGTCCAGCCATTGATCGGCCGACTGGCGGACTGACCTCCAGGACGATGTACTCGGTGGCTTCCCGGGACGTCACAGAGAGCAAGGTGCCTGAGGTGGCTCTGGTTCGGAGGAGTAGCTGGATGTTTGTGCGGCGAGAGCTGCCGCCTCCTCGGAGCTGATAACGGACGACGCTGCCCAAGTTGAAGGAGAACTCTGGGACGGCTGAGGGCGGGAAAGAGGGAGGTCATGTTTCACTCACACAGATGAAAGCAGTTCATCAGCAGCGGTTTGACAACTGTTCCGCTGTTGCAGAGATGCTGAAAAGAACATTTATCTGATGATTGTTACTCGTTTTGGCTGAAAGTGGAGGTTTCCAAACAGGTTCAATATAATTTCGATGAAGCCTACAGTGTCACTGCTCGGTAAACTCAAATATCTCTGTTTTTCCACAACAAGCTGCTCAGTTAAACCCACAATAACTCTCTATGACTGCTTTTTGCTCTTTGTTTTAATATTTTCATTCGACACGTGATTCCTTCAGAGTTCAGGCTGAGTTGCTCACCCCTGTCACACTTGTGTCCGGTGTATCCCGGGTGACACTCGCAGCTGAAGGAGCCCCAGTCGGCGAGGCACGAGGCCTGAACGCCGCAGGAGGGGCCGGCCGCCGTCACACACACCCCGTCTGTCAGCCTGCACCCGGGGCTGCTGTCCACGCTCTCACCCGGAGACGCCAGGTCGTACACCTGAGGAACGGAGGCAGAAAGAGGATTATCTGTACCACCTTTATGAAAGAGCGCTGAATACAGCCGACACAATCCCGGCTGCGCTCGCCGCCATCGGAGGAGTTATTCTCCTGCTTTGAGTCTGAAATGCAGTGAGACTGAATTTGACATGCACTGAATGTCTGAACACGCTGGTTGTTTTCAGCTGGCAGCCATGCAGCCCTTTCATTCTGCGGTGTGTCAAACCACCTTAATGCTTAAAGCAAGAGAGCAGCTCTGATTACAGACGCCTGTTAGGATGGATTATATTTCTCTTTCTTTAAGCAGCTCTGTTTTGTCATAAAACTGTTGGGTAATGAAAGGGTTCATCCTCCTGGGGAGCATGAAGCGTCCTGATGGTGGCGCTAGAGGACAGTTTAGTGGGTGACTAATAATTATGCTTCATCCTCAGGGAACCTCTGGGATAGTAGTTTATTCCAGATTCCAGGTTCAATTTAAGATCATATTAAATGCATTAAATACTTATTTTACACCCATACTGGCAAAAAAAAGCACAAAGGATATAAAGGAAAATCAGTATTGGTTCTATGTTGAAAAAGTGACTGAGAAATGCAACTTCATACAAATAACATTAACTTCATTCATCCAATCAATTTTTAAAACCTGTCAAAATCCTATTTAAGACTTTTTGAAGGCCTAAAAGTAAGATTATTATTATTATTATGACGTTCGACCCTGCTGACACCATGTTGTGAGGCAGTATAGTAGTGGTAGTAGAAGGATTCAGATTCTATTTAGGAGTTTCCTTGAAGCTTTAAACACTGCCATCTGTAATTCAGCCCTAGAAACATTTTGAAAAGCACGCCCGTACACCTGAAATTTGATCTTTGTGGCTTTCAGCTGGTTTTTGTCCATGTGATAATGAAGTCCTTCGACAGGTACGAGCCTTCAGAAAGAGTCGAGATGAATCAATTTGAAAAACAAACCAAAGATTTGTTATCCACAACTTCTAAAGTTACAAATTCACTCGTTACAACAAGTTTTCATTCAGTTCTTCTGTTGTTGACTTTTTGCTGGTTCTTAAAGGTCTGGTGTGTAACATTGGGTCTGCCATGTTTCTACAGGAGCCCAGAATGGACAAACCCAATCAGGCAAACATCGATATCCCCTGTTGTTGTTTACTGATAAGATGGTTACTGATTTACTGCTTTCAGCTGTATAGGAGTCGTGTGAAGTTACTGCTGTCACTTCCTGGTTTTGGTGCTTCATAATAAAAGTGTTAAAATAAGATTTTATTTTATTCTTCAAATTCTTTACAATTTTATTGTGAAGAATTTATAAGAAGTTAAATGTGTTCAGTTAGCGGCTTTTGTCCCTGTCTTTTCATTCAATCTTGAGCTCTCTCGACCGCCGCGGCTCTCTAAAGACGCACCTTCCACTGACGCCCTGTTGTTGTGAACCAAGTCGAAAAACATCAGTATTCAGTTGGCTGCAATCTGCAACTTTACCGCTAGATGGCTCTAAATATCCTACGACGACCGACCTAAATTCAGTAAAACACAAAATCATTCAGCCAGTTTCTAAATTTGTTTGATTCTGATTCACCTAGCAACAGCGTTTTTTCATGACTTTAACCGCTTGAACACTGAACATATCGAGTGCATTCGAAGGCAGCAGAAGTCTCACAGCTGTGGCGAAGCTCGTTAGGAGCGAGGGGATGATCTCAACCGAGTACAGGAAACCCCAAAACACAAGGGATTGTGGGTAGACGAGGGCAGATGCACAGTCTGTCCTGGGGAATATTTTGGGCAGCAGAAAGAGCCGCAGCTCGACGAGGAGGAAGGTTCTCTTCAGTTATATGATATCTTAGACTGTGATGTCGGTAAACTCACACCATCATCTGTCCAACCGCCGGCACACACACACACACACACACACAGCACACACCAAACACACACACACACACAGACCCACATGCACACACAGACACAGCACACACAGACACACACACACACACACACACACACACACACAGTTACCTGGCTGTCCACCACCAGGTCGCGGATGCAGCCGGTGAAACTGCGGTAACGACGATGAGGAGACGTTTCCTTCACTCCTCCCAACTGAAGAGGCTGGAAGACATTCAGATACCTGAGGAAGAGGAGGAAGAGGAGGAGGAAGAGGAGGAGGAAGAGGAGGAGGAGGAAGAGGAGGAGGAAGAGGAGTTTTCAGATTTATTTCTCTTTATTGAATATTTCTGTTATAAATTCTCAGTAAATGCGTCTCCGGACTCGGACTCACCTCTGGTTTCCCGGCGTCTCTCCTGCAGCTCTGCAGCTGGACTCGTCCGTCTCCTGAGCGTCCCCCCCGACTCCCTCCTGTTCGTTCACCGCCACCCCCCCACACTGGTCCAGGATCAGCTGCACGGCCTGAACGCAGGCAAAGAGACACACACATCAACAACCTTCACTGACTGTTGTCTCGTTGTTATTGTCAGCCATCTTTCCTACAGTTTATCATAAAGTAAAACACCTGAAACCTCCATCACTGCAGACGATTAGAGATGAAGTTCAAGTCCATACATGTTGGTACCTGCCGATTATAGTTCTAACAATGACTTTGACTGTCTGAATGTAACTAATTAACTCCATCCGTCATTTTATGCTGTATCGAAGGCCTTTCAAACAGTGGTATCCGAACCAATCCTACCTTTCCGTCACTGATGATGTCGAGGCGATGCCAGCGGCGGTCGGTGACGGTGGATTTCGGCGGGAGCTGCAGGGTCAGAGTTCCTGATCCGTGGTTTATACTCAGAGCTGGAACCCCGTTCCTCAACTCTGGATGAGGAAACAAAGGAAGAGATTCTCAGTTTTCTATTTTACTGCCCACAGTCCAGTAAAACCACACCAGTTATGAATATATAGTTTAAAGTGTTTCCTCCTGCTTTGTTAGCGTGAGTGTGTAAACCTCCAGCTGACTCAAAGAAATATGTAAAACAAGTCGGAAAATACATCTGGCACCTAAAACACGAGTTAAAATGTCGCACATTTGAGTGCTCATTACAAAATTCGTTCTATTTTTGTCAATTTTTCGTAACCTTTGGTCTCATTTTAGCGTCTGTACATGGAATTGACAATATGTGGTGAAGAGAACGAAAGTAACAGCAGAAGAACAATGAGACTGAACGCTTGTTTCCATCCACTGCCGATTATCAGGAGTTAGTTCACGAGGTCAGCAGTAGGTGGCGCCAAATCTCCAGACGGAAAACCAGAAGAAGAAGAGGACGCAACAAGATGACGTAGATAAAAGAGTGGTGAAAAACTATTCAGAAAACAGGATGGAAATACAACATTTCTGTTCAAATAACCAAAGAGCTAATAGAACATGAGGGAGAAGAAAAGACTTAATTTGTCAAAAAAGAAGCCTATTAAGTAAAAAAATACATAATACAGAGAGAGAATTGGATAAAAGTTCCCTAAAAGTATCAGTAAAACTAATCTCTGATCAATATTCACAGGAAATAATCTGCTCACAATTCATTCAAATCTCTGGTTTTCCACAAACGTCCTGCAGTTACTGAGTTCACTGTTCGGTTTATCAGCTGCTCTCTGCTGAAGATAAAATATCTATAAAATATGTCACCTGGTCAGTTAACTGAATGATAGAAAGGGTCAAAGGTTGGGAGGCAGTGAGTTATAGAGCCATGGGAGCGATGAGGAGACATTATTCAGTTTTCCTCTCCCTTTAAGAGCGTTCACTGTCTCACGGCCACGTTATCGAACACGTTAGGTGAAAATGCTTCATGGTGATCAATGCCGCGGCCGCCTTTGATTTTTCCCTCCCCGGTGTCACACAGCAACCGGCCGGGTTCAATAATTACATAACGTCAACGCCAAGAGATTATGCAAGAAGTGTTGGAAAGGCCATCTGCAGGCTAATCCGTTAACGCCACATCGGGGCCCGCCGGGAGCTGACATTACAGTTTATGAAGCTCTTTGTCCGCTGAGGAACTGTCTTTACGGCGCCGCCACTGATTCACGCTTTGTTTGTTGAAAAGGGACGAGCGGGCACGTTCCCACCAGCACTGCGAGATTATAGCGTGTTGGTTAGAAGAATAATGTTTGAACTTTTAGTAAAAGCAAACAGAGTTTTTTGCTCTTCTAAAGCCTCTTATGATCAATGTTCTTCTGGTACAGACACTGAGGTCCCTGTCGTTGTCTAAAGATCTCTAATACAAGACTTTAAATCATTTCACTGAATTCTCATCAGTGGGTTCAGAGTTTCATTCAAGCTGCTGCAGATATTTACACACTGATTGTCTCGTAGTTTTATTGCATTCGGGTGTATTTTCTGCTGCACTTCCTGTTTATAAAATACATGGAAATATTAATAAAAGTACAAAAATATCCTGTGAATTTACATGTCTAATGTAAAATAATGTGAAAAATCTGTAACTGTAAATAATCATAAAATTACTGATTATTTAAAGAAAATTCCTTTTTTCACATAAAAAGATTAAATACGTTTGCAAATCTATAATGTTTTTGCAGATATTT